ACACACACACACAATTAATGTTTCTGTAGAATTTTAAATGCATGTCCTTAATATGCAAATTTCAGGCTATATAGCATGTTTTAGGAAGGTGTCAAGATACACAAAACAACAAACTACTACTAGAAAATGGTTTCGGTTTAGAAGTGTAGTTATTACAGGGTCTGTAGAGCAGACAAAGGTTTAGTGAAACTCGATCAGAGGCTCTGAATGGGTAACCAGAGAGCAGGTGATCATGCTGCCTATTGAGAAGGTGGGTTGTGCTGCTGGTAATTCCTTGTGCTTTACTATTGCTAGAGACTGAGATGATCACACTTCTATATACCCAAGTCCAAAGAACATTAAAACGACCGACCAACTAAACCTTGCAGATATTTTCTGTTTTCATTTATAAAGATATAATGTACCTTCATTTTACAGAGATTTTACTATTGTTGCAGAATTGACGAATATAAACTAACAGACAGAATCAAAGAGCTTTATGTGTATTTGTGAAAGACATACAAAAGACACAGAGCAGTTTGTGCAACAATAGAGTCAATTTTAAGACACAAAAAGTCTTCATGGCTTTCTCACTTGTTCTGCGGGGAGCAGGGTCTGGTCAGATACTGGCACATTGGCAACAACAGGAATGCAAATGCAATTGTTGCAAGAACTGAGGAGAGGGAGAGAACACAGCAGTGAGACCATAGGCCTTGCACACCTAGTCAGGTTGTTCCAGTCGTTTTATGTCTGCTTAATGTGCCAGTTAATGGTCTTTACAGTTTCAATAATCAGCACAGAGTCTTCCCCAGAGTGTAACCACTGAACAGGAAATGTGAACAGTTATTTCTATATCTGTGGCTTTCTTATGTTATGTTCACGAGCGGTACTTACCTGCAGTGCAGATAGTGAAGACCACCTGTACTGAGTCAAAGAAGAAGAACATAACTAGCAGAGACACAGAGGCTCCAATGGGCAGAAACAGGGCCTGTGTGGAGTCTATAGTCTGAATACCTGCAAGACAAAACAAATACAGAAGTGAGAAGGGTTTGAAAAACAACATACACAAATGTGGTCCCAAGCAGGAATGCTAATCAATTGTGAGTGATTACTTGTAAATACAAGAGCACAAGTTGTCTGCGGTTTCAGGCCTTGGCATGTACTAACACTCACTGTTGTTTGTGTTGCTGTTATTGAAAGCCCCCGTTGTCGTAGGGTTACCATCTTTATCCTTCTCCTGGTTCTCACAATCCATGTTTAATGACCTGAAGTCGGGGGGGGACAGAAAGAGAGGGAGGGAAGAGAGCAGGAGAATGTTTGGACGCAAGCATCAGGAATCAAAACCCCCAAAACTAAGTAGACTGCTAACAGGAGGAAGAGGCTGTACAACAACCAAAAAAACACAGTCTGCTTTTACGGTGAATGACTCAGAGACTTGACTTCCGGTGGCTTGTGCTTATAAATATCTCTGTCAATGGAAGATGAGTCAATTTTTTCTCTTGAGGAAATTGGATTAAAAGTATTTCAAAGATTAAAAAAACATCCTTCCTTCCTCCACGTAAGTGTGCAAGTCTGAACTTAACAGAACTGTGTCTCTAAAATGAATTTTAATTTAGTTGCGTTTTATTTTCCTGCAGATATCAGACAGTCCTGGAAACAGTCAGGCATTTTGTTTTGCAGGAAATATGCTTTTAGTGGGAAAAATAACAAATATCACTTGAGTCCTGGTTTAATGTAGGTTAGTGAATGTCACATTGCGTACTGGTGATGGAGTCATTGTTAACACTATTAGGAACATCTGAAAGGCTTATGGATAAAAACAACCTGTTTAGAGTGTGACGTATTTATCTAGTACAAATTTAAACTGAATTATCAAATTCAATTAAAATTTGATCATTGGTGGTGCTCAATGTTTAAGTCTGATACCATCAAACCATGGGAGAAAAAGAAAGAACCATGACTGTTTCATATATTTATTTAACAAATGTAATATTTATTTATTGGTCAACACAAACCTAAAGTTTTCATCTATTGCCTTTTATTGTGTCTTCAGGGAAGAAGGCCCATCAATGACATTTAGGGCTACATGCTTCATGACGCCTATTTCTTTTTAATTTTGGCATAACATTTTTATCATATTTTGAGTTCTTCCCACTCAGGGTTTTTAACCACAAATGGACAATGCATTTAAAATGCACAGCCTGGAAGAGCTTATTGAAAATTGCAAGTACAGCAATCAAAACCCCATTAGGTGCGGCAGTGTAGATGTTTTTCGGTGCACATAATGCACCAAAATCATTACCCCAACCATTCACAGGGTACACTTAGCCTGCAAGAGAGCTGAAGAGTGCAACAACAACCCAGCAAACAGGTCAACTTAGAAAAAAAACTGAAACAACATCAAGACCAAATCCAAAGACCAAACTGAGATCAGGTCACATCATCTAAATGTGCATTGAATTATGGACAATAATTGTATTGCTCATTAAGCAAACATAATTTAGTTTTTATATAAACGACACTGCTTGTGTCTGGATTTACCTGGTGACACATTATTCTAAGTGTAGTTGTTTTCAAGTGCAACCTGTTTTTAATTTTTATTCACATTATGATGTACAGTCTGATTTAACACTGTGAGCCAGGACCATATCTTTACTGCATGGTAAATAAACAGAACTTGTGGTACTTTCACAATAATAAATGTCTTCCTATGAAGACATATAAAAAAGGTTCATCAAAAACATTCTGGTACTTTTGTAATAGTAACCAGATTTAGGAAAATAAATTCTTGTTTGAGAAATGAGAATGCTATAAAACACATGCAAAATATGCCAAAGGAAACTCAACAATGCTGTTGGAAAAATCACCTTCAAAGAAAACAGCACATTTAAAAAAGATTTAAATATTTGTGGGTAACTCTCACCAAGGCCCCAAAACTAGAACTTTGGACAACCCTAAACAAAATATAGAACTTATGGTTCATGTGAGAAACTAAACGTGACCGGAGAGTCTTTTTCCACTGCCCTCTAGACAGCTGAAATGACCATGTAGTGATACTCACCTAAAGCTGCCATAGACGATAAGAAGGATGGAGATGAGGAAGGTGGACACCTGGCTGGAGTCAACTAGGGAGTACGCCCTGGAGAGGAGAGAGGGAGAGAGAGAGAAATACAAATGTGAGAATCCATGCATGCACATCAGACTATTTAATAAAACAGTTAAAATCCATATCACACTGAGTTGAGTTAGTAGATTTTGCCAACAAGCTTCTTTCAGACAATTGTATGCTTTAATTTCTAAACAACACAAGTTGTCACTACCATTGACATCACATGAACAACTCCAAAGTATATCACCCTAAACATTCACAAACGATATTTACTAGAAGATTCTAGACTTCAAGCCCTTGCTTATCTGCTTACACAGCTTTACAAGTTGTACCAAAACCATTGAGTTGACATTTACAACGACAGTTTAATTTTGAATACTGTTGATTCATTATATGCTGAGGTAAAACACACAAAGTTTGAGCTCAAAAGTTGAAGGATTTCCTGATACCTGTGAGACTGATCATATAATATATACCTCTGATGTTTTTCACACTCTCACTCTTAAATCAAACAATAAAATTAGTAAAGATCTTTCAAAACAGAGACATTGACTGAAGTTGTATTTCATTCCAAACAAAACTATTTAAATGCAAACACTAAATCTCAAAGTTTGAATGAAAAGGAGCAGAAAGAATAATAATCTTATATGATCTGCCCCGCTTGAATCATAGAAGACTTCTACATGTCAAGAGCAGTAAACTACAGGAGACGACCATTCTTCCTCTCCGACTTGTTTAACTGTGGTGAATTGAGCACATATCCTTTGCTCTTGGAATAAAGGTGGTTTTTTTCTACCAGATTCTGCTCTATAATCATTTCAGCTTGAGAGTGCACACCCATATACACATACCAACCATCGGACTGACATCAGAATACATCGCGGTTTCTCAATTCTCTGCTTTTTTATACCACCATACTGTGGAAAATAACAAAAATGGAGACAAGTATGCAACTGTTATTTCAGTCAATCGTGTCAGACTCTGCAGTCTGACAATCTCGCACTGGTCGGGGCAATTTCATCACCATCGCACAAGTCACACACACCCCTAAATGAATGTGCAGGGCAAATGTTACAACAAGAATTAAGAGGATAGTTCAATATGGAACTGGGTCAGTTCCGTCTCACTGTCTGATTTTCAGCACAGTAGTATCGTTTATGATGTTGGGAAATCTAATATTCTTTCCAGTGATCGTCTATGAGAACATCTAACAGAACGTGGAAATATATTGAACGCATGTTTTATCACAGCACAGAGAGATGGCACGCGACATGAAAATGTCTCACAGAGCACAAATTAACATATTCTGTTCCCCTGACGTCACTGGGCCTCGTGATTACACACAACAAAGCAGCAGAGGGGAAGGAGAGTGAAACTATTCAATCACAAAATAAGAAGTGCAAATGTTGTTGAGTTTCTAACAAAGAACTGATGGAAAACAGGTTATTGATTATGAAAATCAATAGGGAAAATGGCATCCATACAGTCCCAAGCACATTGGAAACTGTCTACAAAGAAGGGGGCCTCTGCTCACAGCAGCAGGAAGTTTAGGCGTCTTTGTTTCTTCTACATTTTAAATAGGTCAATTGATTTAAATTTTGGTGTGTATGACTAACTCATTGGATAATGAGCAGAGTACATCTCTATTTTTTTTACTTCTGTTTCATGTCTCTCATATTTTTTTTGGTTTTAAATAGTTTGGATACTTACGCTCAATGAATATCTTTTATAAATTTAAATTTTATTAACCTTGTAAAATGCTTCAACTACTTTCAGACACGCACTGAACTCGAGGAACTTTCTGAAACCTTTTTCCGCCAGCCCTCCAGCAAAATGTGGAAAATTTCAGACAGAGTGTGTTGATGACAGATGCCAAAAGGAGATAAACACAAAGAATATAAATATCTCAGGATGAAAAAGAGGTTCCATACACGTACAAGATGCTCTTGGTGAAATGGGCCAGCGCTGATGTGCTGTCAACAAAAACATGATTTTGCAGTAGAAAAGGTTATGTCCTGCCTCCTGCATAACCAGACGCCACCCCTCGCCTGAACGTCCCAAACACTGTCCTGTTGTTGTGAATGAGCCTGAATCGGATAATTCATATGTGAAAGATAAAAATTCCGGAAAATGTCCAGGCCAAATTTTCTGGACATTTTCCAGAGTTCGTTTCCAAACTCCATCTTCACACATATTTGACAACTGTACACTTTCGAACTTTCTATCCATATGTGCAAAGTGTTTGTGGATCTCCAAATCACTGCAACAGCATTTTGACAAAGACTAGACTTGAGGCTCTGCTCCAAACCATTTTCTCCACAAAAGGAAACATGTCAGGTTTTATATTCCATATTTAATGTCGGAATAATAGGCAAGAACATTTGTAAATGCTATTGTGATGTGTGAGACAGACTTGAAAAAATAAGAACCTGATGAAAATTATGCATGATGCCTGCTCAAGGTTGCTGCTAAAAGAGGATCCATATGTTTCAGTTTAATAATGGTTGACATTTTCATTGTGGTCTAGAAAAGATGAGCAGCACTGTCTTGATGAAGGATGAATATGACTTCACTCATCCTGCTCCTTTTTAGTCTGCGTATCATCAAACAATTAATTTTCTAATTTCAACATCAAGTAAAAATCAAGTAAAAATTTTGACACAGATGTGGAAACCTGCTGCTACTTTGCACACTGATGCTGTGTCTAAGAACCAAATTGTTCCCATATCAATGATCTGGGGCCTTGACACAGTGCAGTCTCGGCATGCACCCTCATAATGCAGGCCTTCTCTCTGGGGCAGAGACAAGGCCGGCATTGTGAGGAGCTGACTTCAGGTGAAAGGTGCAGATTTGACCCCAATCTCGACCTGTCTCTCCTGTCAACGTCTCTGGTCATGGGTTAGGCATGGGAAAACAAAACCTATGAGCCCAACAATGTCGTCATCATCACCAGTCCCTTTGAAAAATAGAGTTTACTCACATGAGATTTTGAGGTCAAATCTTGCAGAAAATAACATGACAACTTCTTAACCCCTGAGCATAATCAGGGCAGTGCAAACATTTTAGGGTACATTAACAAACACAAACATAATAGTGTCTGAAACTGACCTGTTTTGTTACTAGGTGCACATTTACCCTCCACTGTCTGATCGAAGTTTCTAAAAACTCTGTTATGCTCTTTAAATGATCCAAAAAAGAATTACAGAAAAAGTTACACTTGTGGAACCCAACGACTGTAGAAAAAGAAGGACCATGTGTCTACACTTCCTCCCAGCATACAGATGTGAAGCAAAAATATCTCAGATATGAATGCTTCACTTTTGAGAAGCTGTTGTGTCATCCATCTTTAAGTACAGTCAGTTTGTGATAATAATTTAAACTTATAAATTGGAATACAGTACACCAGTTTCAATAAATATATCAGCTAATAAACTGCAGTACATAAATGCTAATGAATACATTCTAAGCGTTTGTGTGAAATGCCACAGTCGGCACAAAGAAAAATCCCACGAAACTAAATATTATATTACTATAATATATTGTTAGTTTTAAAACTTATTTACATCAAATTTGCTCAGGTATAATGTAAAGTCACTAAATGCTGCTGAATTTACTGCTCACTGTGGAGTCAAATACTGAGTTTTAATTATTCAGAGAACAGTAAATGAAAAGAAGAGGGTCACAGTGTTGGTGGGAGACAGTGGCAGAGAGGAAGTATTAAAAAACATGATGACAGATGCTCCACACAGAAAACCGCATTAGCTTAGAGGAACAATAATCTCAAGCTGACTAGCACCAACCTTCACTGGATCACACTAAACAGGACATTTGTTAGAACAAACTAAAGATCTAAAAATAAAACCTCTTGAGTTGGAGTAAAATTATCCACCACCATTTCACTTCTAATTTTAAGTGGCTGTGGGTCATCTTTGCAAAAGGCAAAAAAATCTCCCACTCAAGCCAAAGCCAGCAACGCAATCCTTTCTCGGTTATTGTGAAGCAACATACAGAGAATATAAATGGGTTTCCTCTGCAACATACTGTATTATGCAGGCTTTGTGTCAGTTTGTGTTGGCAATGCCAGCAAAACTCAAGTATGACAGGTGCAAGCCAAACTCAATGCAATCTCTACTGCGAATTGCATTGATACAAACGGGTCTGAACGTCTGGCTCATCAACAATATATTTGCACAAGGAAAATTACATTAACTGTATAGAAAGGCCTGGGTACAGAGCATGAACAGAACACAATGAACACTATCATGGAATGGGCCTTATGAGATGAAATGCACTGGTCAAATCATTTATTTGGATATCTGCCCACAAGGTGCTAAACTGTTATTTCACATCACAAGCTCTGCAAGTGGAATCTGTGTTTTCCTGCTGCCATGCAGGGAATACTGTTTCAGCTCTGAGCTAGTTTTCTCACAAGTCCTGACAGAGAAAACAACCCTTGCAAAAAAAGACTTTAAATCATTTTTCATTCTGCTGCACATGTGACAGAGGAATTTACAGGTTTCAATGTGATGGCGGGGAAGGAAAAAAGAAAACAAGAATCTCCTGTCTCGTTCATTCATTTAGTAGAATGACTACATGGTGTCTTGGAGGGGAGGGGTAACATGTAGTTCAGTGTAGAAACAGGACACCAGGACAATGCTGCATCGTGTAGCTCTGCTCTGGCCTTGTTTGTCCTATACAGGCCTTGACTTAATGACTGAAAAACACACTCAGCAGGCATCCTCTTCACAGACATGTCAAATTACAATGGGGCCCGGTATACTTGACCCAAGACATAGGCTCTAATAAAGATCCAACAATATAACCGATGCAAATGTGACACCGTATTCAGGAAAGTGCTCCGTCTTTGTGAGTTGTAACCTAAATGGGTTAAATGTCTTACACAGCAGTTTGGCTTCAAGCATTAAGAAAGCGATTAAGAAACTGACCTTGTTCCACACACAGACACTAATGATGTCACTGCCTCGCTGTCAACACTGCAAGCAGATAGGCAGATAGACAACTAGGTTCAC